ATCTGTTTTAGACAGATTTCCCAAGGAAGACCAATACTAAATTTTTCCAGTATGACAGGAAAATCTCTGAGAGCCTCTTTGTTCAAAGGGAATTAAACTAGCAGAGCATCTTAGAACACAAGCAACAGGAAGGAATTATTTCTGCCTGCTTCAAACTTGTTCCTAACTTTTCAAAAGAGAAAAAGAGCACATATTTTCAGTCTAAAACATATAACATCAGTGTGGTGTTTTTTTTAAACTCTTGAAACAGCACTTTGGTTCTCGAAACCCAGAGGAATTTGGGCCTCACACATGTTCACTCGTTCGACCTCATGTCAGTGAATATGATTCACACTTGTCCTCTGTCCTGCAAAGACTCTTGCACTGGAATGACACACAGAATACTATCAATTTGGAGCAGCTGCATTTTACATTTCTTTCGCAGGAGGAAAAGCAAATTAAAAATACGGAAAGCAACGGCTCATAGTGAGTAAAATAAAAATAACAAACATACTGAAAGTTACTTCACCCACTCAGATCTTTTTCATGTCTTTGCAACTTGTAAATGCTTTTTGCATTTATCTAGATAAATCTAGATGTGCTTAGCATCTTGATGAAACTCTGCAGCTCGATGTGTCCCTGGAATACTTGGGGGGGTGAGGCAGGGAATGAATCAGTGAGTAATCTGAGTTACAAAAATTTAGAAATACCCCTCTAAGAACTTAAAACTACTTTCTGAAGACAGGTTTTGGTTTTAAACTCAGTTCTGAATTAAAGGGAAACTTGCTGGAATAATATTTAATTGCAAGTATCAGCTTCCTAAGGAATGACCACTCTATCAGGACGATCCTCTCCACAGAAAACCGTGGCTCTCACATTCCAGCAGTGGGTTTGGAGGCCACATATAACCTGTTAGGCTTTTTTTGTTTCTTTGTGCCTTTCTCTTTCCTGAATTTGAAAGTATAGACTGAAAAAAAAAAAGTACTGATTCATAAGATTCTCAAATTCCACTGCAAGACCATAACTGCACTTTCTTGCACATTTTGTCTTCAATATCCACCCCATTTCCATGCCCGCATTTCTTAATTTCTTGATTGTCAACTATCTTTACTTCCATCAAGTACTAAAATCTGACTTTCTGTTACTGTACAATATTGATCTCACACTTATGACCTGTAGGATACTTTATGCTTAATGGCCATCACCATACCCACAATATTCATCATGCATTCTGTTTTAGCATCTATTAGTCAATTTTAAAGAACATAATTAAGAATATTTTAAGACCTTACTGGCTCATCCTCAAGACGTGCTATCCAACACAACAGAAAAGGAGAACAAACTTTATTTTTTATTCCTATTCATTTTTTCTGCTACAAAATTAATTAGAATTAATTATGATTAATGGTTGTGCTTTTTTTTACCCCTTCATAAGCAGTTTCTGTCTTTTAATGATTAGTCTCTCCATTAAGGTTTTCTGCCTTCATGGTTTTTTTGTTGTTTTGATTTTTGATATTTTTTACACACTAATATAATTCTCCTGCTCAAGGAACTTCCATTCCTCATCTACAATATTTGCTTTATTTGGTGTCATGGGGCGATATTACGTGATCCTGAGTGATTGTTTTCAAACGTCCGTATGACAAACACAGATTTCACTTGAACATCTCCAAGAGGTCCACGTGACTCTCCTTTATGAATGTATTACATACTTGAGGTGTTCAGACTTTGCAATTTACCCTCATAAAACCCTTCTGTGATACAGAAATATTATCGACATTTTACAGTGGAACAGAAAACGAGTCAGCTTATTAAAGTACTGAAATGCTTAAGGATGCCTATTGGGATTTTCAAGGTTGCTCTGACTTATACCTCTTATTTCTAATTGAACTAATTGAAGATTTTTCACTAAATGACTAACTTGCATCTTTAGTTTTCTGAAAAGTTTTAAAATCTGACTCACCCATGTCACCCTTTATATCCAGTGGACCAGCGCATTAAACCCAGAACTCATCAGACTTTAAACTCATGCTCGAAGCACGTGCAGGGCTTCCCACAACAGGGCAAATTACATGGAAAATAAAGATGTGGCACATACCACAGGCATCCAGTCCCCTCCTGTCCCTGTCCTACTCCCTCCTGGTCTGAGTCACACACCAAAGCCTCAGACAGCAGGAAGCCACAAAGCCAACTGCATCAGATGTCAGACAAGAAACTAGTGGATCTCCAGGGATCTGGCTGCTCCCTGCTGGGACTGAGGGGTGCCGGGAGGCTGAGCTTGTAGACAAACACTCCTATCAGGCTCAGCGACCCCTCAGCTCACCATCTCCCTCTGTAAGAGCTTGATTTTTCTAAATACTGGCAGGGGACAGAGCCAACATACATGAATGGCTCCAATCAAACTGCTGTAAAATCATCTATATCCACCATGTTTTTGGATTTAGGCAAGTAGCCACTTTATTTCAGAAGAACTTCTGTAAGCATTTCCCCATGCTTTGATTCCTGTGCAAAGCCTAACTGTGTGTGTGTGTGTTTTCTGGCTGCACTTTTCTCAACTCAGTTGTACACATTGCTCTTTTTGGGTGGCCTAAAAGCAAGTTACTCAGTTTGGCTAATGCACATCACCTTCACACTTTGGGGGGCAGCAAGTTGGAACCAGGACAGCTTCATCTTTTGCCCAGGTCTGCCAAGGAGATGCTGTCTTTCAGCACGAGTTTTCTTCACATCCCTATGCTTAGACCACTAGAGGCTGGAAAGGGAATGCATCAGCTGTCAGGGCTTTTTAAGGCCATTTTGCCCTTGTTAAGTCAATGAAACTCACTACACAAAGCAGGCTGGATTTGGTCAGTGTACTGCCCTTTGATTGTGAATCCTATTGCTTCATTTTGGAAGTCATGTACACTGCCTTCTTACAGGCCACGCCATCACATCTAAGGACCAGCTAAACAAACCACATGGGCAGCCAGTTTACTGGGACAATATACGTATTTTAATCAAAGAAACATAAGACTGGGTAAATTAATAAATTCCTGACATTGCTACCTTACAGAAGGGCTTTCCAAGTCAGGGCTTATGGATAACGTGTTGCCTGCTAGACCCTCTGAGACTGGCTGCAGCTGCAAAAAATAAAAATGTTAAAATTGAGGCCAATAGGAAGATGCTGCCTGCAGCATAATTGCTCACTGTTGTTGCACATTGGCTGGCGAAGGTTAGGGACTGCTGCTCTGTGTAATCGAGCAGGTTTGCAACAATACTGGGAGGCTGTTGTATAATAACAGTCAAAGCAAAACAGGTAGAAATAAATACACGGTTTTTTCCATCTTTAGGCAGAGGTGATACATTTTTCCTGAGCGCACCATGCTTTAAAAATGCTCCCAAACAGATGCCAGGTACTCTTTTTGCCCGAGGCTGATGGAGAAAAAGCAGGTAGCTTCTGAAAGAAATTTGAAAAGCTGTTATCCAAGTAGCTGAGGTTAAAGTCTCCATATGCATTTCAAGTAGTTTCGTATCCAAAGTGAGCACTGATTTAAGCAGACATTTTTGGAATCATGACCTGATATACAAATATGTGATTGATCCTTTAGTAGATGAAAATTACTGAAAATCACAGGTGTCTGTCACAAAAATTATTGCTTATATGAACAAATTAAATATGCCTATATGAACCAACAATTAAGTTTGCCTATTTTCAAAGAATCCTTATCAAACATTGCATGAATCACTTCAATTTGAATATTTCAAGTAGTGAAAAGCTAGAATGGCTGTAAATAGCTTTGGATACAAGTGAACTGAATGATGGAAAATTCCTTATTCATTTGTTGTGGTAGCAGATTTTTTCCCCCCTCAAATTTTTTTTTCTTAGTTTTACTTGTTTCATCCAGGCCTTTCGGCATACGCAAGGATTTGTCAGTAAGTTGCACTGAGTGTTACTTCAGACTCACCAAATCACAGAAAAATATTTAGGAATAGTGTCATTAGACTGCCCTACACTAAGTGAACTGATTCGTTTCAGAGAATAATAAAGAACTGAATACTGTGCTGTGATGACCAGCTGATCTAACAGTACGGCTTTCCAGTACTGCAAATGTTTATCAACTTCTTTTTTAACTCTCTAAATTTCTCCTCACACCGAGCGAACCCATCTCGATGCAAAAATAAATGTAATAAGCTCCTACTTTAAACTGCAATTTGCCTTTCCCTTATGGCCAAAGACATACGGCACATCCTCAGTCTTTCCACGTTTTTGTGCAGCTGGAGCTCAGCTTCCTTATGAGAAAGCTTCCTTAAGTTAAAGTTTTTGAAGTAGGAGCGTTATGCCAAGATGCAAAAAGGCAACGGTAATCCTGACATACACACACAGAACCACCCGGTGTATACCTTGTAAGCCCCACAACCTCTGCTTGTACCTACAGAATTGCAAGGAACAGTCGTCTTAGCTTGTAAAGCACAGAACTGGGAAGTTAGGTTAAATCGCGCTCCAGTTACACCGGGCAGTGAACCCTTCTCCTCTGCGCTTAACCCCGGAGCGCCGGGAGGGCCAGGGGAGCACAAGGGCAGTCCCGGGCCCCCGGGCACTGCAGCAGAGCCGCGGCAGCGCCGGGCAGGGCGGCTCCGACCCGCTCCGGGTGAGTGAGCGGCGGCGGCCCAAAGTTGCCCGCCCGCCCCCCGCGCTGCCGCACCCGCCGCTCGCACGGGCTCGGGCAGCGCTGCGGGCTCGGGCTCCGCATCTCCCCCGGCACCGGGCGCTGCAACCCAGCGCCGGGCGCAGCAGAGCCCGGACCAGCGTCCTCCCCCGGCCACGCCGGGCAAATTTTCCCCCCAGCCCCGCGTTCCCGGGAGCATCCCTCCCTTCCACCTTCCCCGCTCCGCCGCCGCTCGCTCCGGGCAGCCCCCGCCGCGCCGGCAGGCCTCGCCCCGCGGCGCCCTGCCGCCGAGGGATGCCGGGGGGGGTTCGCCCTCCTCCCGCAGCCGGGGCCGGGGGAGGCCGCCGGTGCCCGCGCCCCCGAGGGCGGCGGCCGTACCTGAGTCGCTGAGGCGGGGCCGGGCTCTGTCCCGCAGGTAGTAGATGAAATCGCGGCAGTTCTCGTTCTCCACCGCCCCGACGGAGCACAGCTCGGCCAGCAGCTGCAGCGCTTTCTGGCAGATCTCGTCCTCCCTGTCGCCGGGCATCGCCCCGCAGCATCCTCGGGAGCGCAGCGGAGCGGAGCCCTGCGGTCAGGCGCCGCGCCGCTGCCCGCCGCCCGCCTGCAGCCGCCGGGCCGCCGCCCGCATCCCCAGCCAGCGGCGCCCGCCCCGCCGGGCCGGGCCGGGCCGGGCCGCCCCGCCGCTCCCCCCGCGCCGCTGCCGGGGGCGGACCGGGGGGTCCCACCAGTTGAGCGCGGGGGCGGGAGCGGCGGCGGGGCCGCGCTGCGCAGCTCTGCCGGCGGCGGGAGCGGCCGCCGCGCCCCTCTCCGCCCCGGGGGGCAGGTCTGTCCCCCGCCCCGGCCCGCGGGATCGGCGGCCGGCACCCCCCGAGCTCGTCCGCTCCTCTGGGAACTTCAGAGGCGGCGCAGGGGCTGGCGAGGGACGCTGCTGGGCGCGGGTCCTGACGGACAGCGCCCCGTCCTCCCCCTCCCCATCGCTGGGCAGGCCCGGCCCTCCTCCGACAGCTTGTCCCGTGCCGTGTGCCCTTGCGTCTCGCTGCCCGCTCCTGCCCAGGAATTATCCCGCTCGCTCAGCTAATCGCCTGGAAATGCCTCTCTGCCCCCGCGCCCCTCGCAATAGGGAGCCCCGGGAAGCGAAAAATGTATCCTGGACAGAACGGAGATCTTCGTTCGGCAGATTCATATTTTGGCTTGGCTGATCGAGGGGTTAAAAAGAGTTAAAAGCACGGCTGAGAAACCTCAGGCACCTGAGACCCAGCCATAGCTTGAGGGGAGGGCAGGAGAGCCTTTCCCGGAGGAGGTGGGGGCTGAGGAGATGTCTACCATTAGGCATGTTTATCCTGACAAGTAGGAGATTCTTAAGGTGCTGCTTTGCTTTCTGGGTTTGTAGGCTGGGAGGCTGGTGGGTGTCATAAGGGGAAAAGCTGAGAACTGGTTGCTCCATTTAACTTCATTTTTTTTCCTCTCTCTCCCTTTTATAATAGTTTAAGCAAATATCAGAGGCCATGATGAGCTCAGAAAGTTCAGACTGCTGTGGATGTTCAACCTACTGTTTAAAGACTGCTGATAACAGTTCTAGAAATAGCATAATTTTCTAGTAGAAGTTTTTCTCATTTTAAAGAAAAAAGTATATCACTGAAATAAGATGTATTTTGGGAAAGGAGTGGATGTTAATAAGAACAATTGTTTACTAGTGTAACTTGTCTCCTAGTGCTTTTGCAGCATTGCTTATGTCTCAAAGGCATTGTTTTCCCCCACCTAATTTTTAATAGAAAAATGATATTTGTAAACATGGTTGTATAAGCCAGGTATAATTCCATCAGTAATCAGGCAACTCATTCATGCTGGCTTGTTGTTATTAGGAATTAACAATAGATAATAAAATAGTATGTAGATATTACAGTTGCTGACATATTTTTGAAGGCCAGAGGTTTTGATGACATCAAAATGATGACATTTCACATTTAAGCACAGGGAAAATTCCTACTGGTCTCAATAAATGCTGCACAAATATATATCTTGATGCTGGAAAAAACAAGGTGATTGCCTTGTTTCCCTAATCATGCAGGGAGAAAGACAGTTCTTGAGAGGCACTGTCAGTCACGCTAAGGATCAGGCTTTAGCAGTCCTGCTGCTTTTCCTACTTCGGTAAAGAAGAAGTAAAATTTAAAGAACTTGGTACAACTAGAGAAACCAGAATGTCTTTTAGGGAAAAACAGTTTCAAGAGGGGTAGTGAATTATTCATGCATATGTAAGCTCTCTGGGGGCAGGAACTTTTTAATCTGTAACACAAAATCAAGTCCTGGCCAATGCTGGTGATATGTCATGAAGAGGAGGAAAGACAGAGGAGCTGTCAAAACCCACTGACAGAGATATCTGAGAAGTACAGTTGAATTAGTCCAGTGATCATGTGTGACCAGATTTTGAATTACTGTAGAATTTGTGCATTGTGACTCATTTAGACAGATTATTTGGCTATATTTTTGTAGTTTGGCCCTGGCCAAGATGGCTGAGCTGTTCTATAGCTTGTACTCTGTCCAGGACAGACAAATATATCAACTGCAAAGTGATATTAATGCATTTACCAGAGTGTGGTTTTTATCCAGTGGGACCACAAGCTCATCTCTAGCTTGGGATTCAGGCTTGCTGCAGAGTGAACTCTGGACAGCCTGGTGATGAAGTGTTAATTTCTTTATCCTTCTCCTATAACTAGAGTATCTTGCTTCATTTTTTAAATAGCAGCAATTTCAAGGTGCTGAGATGTTTGCAATGCAGATGGTTAGAGCTGGAAATTTTTCAGTCTGGTGGAGGAGAGACCATGAAACTCTTTGGACATCACTGCTCATAAATAAAGGCATCTATTCCCAAAAGCTCTGAGCTCTAAGTGCGCTGTGTGAGCAAATGGCCATGTCTCTGGAGATGGCAGCAGTAAATGTAATCAGCTGTGTCTCAAAGCAAGTGCAACATTTCCTTCCTGAGGTTGTTTGTGAAAACCAGACCTATATCTGCCATTTTATTATCATTGATTGCATGTTTCTCTTCTTGCAGGCACCCCTAGTTGGGATGGGGTTACTCTTTTTGTCAGCTGCAGATTTTCCTAATTCAGGGGACCGTGTTACGTTTGAGATCCCTAGTGAATGCTGTACTAATTAACTGTGCACCCAGAAAGGCATTGCAAGATGCAGCGGGATGCTCTTATTAACCTTATCTTGAGAGTTACAACTTGTACTTACTATTACTCCATTTTTTTCTGTTTAGCTCAGAGCTGCCTTCACACAATACAGTGTACTCAGGAAAAAAATCCCCAAGCCTGCTACACACAGAGTCAGAATAAGTTTAACTCTTTGACCTACAAAAACTCTGTCTTTATCAATTGACATGTTCTTCTTTCTTTTCTTGAAATAAAGCTTTTCCCCAGTGTTCTGGCAGTAGCACAAGGATTGCTGGCAATGAATTCATCTTCAAAGATGGGCGTTCATGAAATGAATGCATTTCTAGAAGAAAGTGAGGCAACTTCTATCAGAATATTTATTATGGCTATGCTCCAACCAGAACTTACCAAGTATTTGTATTTATAATTGCTTGAATTACATTTGCCCACAAAGAGGTGGGTATAAGCACACCATGTACTTTAACAAAAGGGAGAAATGAGGCCAGGTGTATTTCAGGAAATCAAGAAAACACATAGAGCTACTAAGTTACTAGTGAAACATGACAAACAAGATTATTTTTTTTTCCCAAAAGTCAAGGTGTGTGAATGTGTAATTAATGAGTGGGACAAAAAGACAGAGAACAAGGAAAAAACATTGCTGTGGTTAAAGGGTGCCACTGAGCTGAAGGCAGTCACCTGAAGTCCAGGCTGGAGAAGGGAGATGCTGCTGTAGGTTCAGAGATTGATACATCTATCAAATCTTTCTTTTATTGGCTGTACCAGACTTTCTGCCTCACTCTCAGTCTTCCTCTTCTGTTCTTAATGGATGTATGTTTTTATGCTGCCTAAAAATAGAAAGTGCTTAGGTGAACATATAAGAAATAGAAATGTGGGTAACTACTACTGAGTTTTTGTGAGATGATGCTTTTCTGAGCAGCTTCATTCTTGGGATGAGTTAGTTGTTCTTCACAGAAGATTTTAGCACTGCTTTTAATGGGAGGATAGTTAGAAAATAGGTATGCCCTCATTTGGACTTTTTACTCATCACTGACTTCTAGAGGTCAAATGGAAACAAGTGAATGTTAACTAAAGGGAGGGTGGTATCCTCATTTTGAGAGTGTTAATATACAAAAATAGCTGTTCTTGGGTACAGCCAATAATATATCATCATTTGAAGATTTTGAGATCACTGTTAAATACTGTGATGAAAGAAGGGATGGCGGTGTATTTTCATTATGGTACTTGTAAAATCTTAGGACTTTTTTATTTTAAATCACATGTCAATTATTGACATCTGTTCAGATTTTTAAAGCATAATGCATAAAAACAGTGCTAAATGCTAGAACAGTACAAAGCTTTGTTCCTTCCTCTGAGGGAGGCTTGTAAAGCTGCTTCCATGTCAGAATGGGTGAAATGTCATTTTGGAGTTTTCTGAATAGGTTGCTTTCTCACAGCAGGTCCTGAAGGAAGAGCAAAGTGTCTATCATGCATTAAGCAGAGAAAAAGTGTGTCAAATCTCTTAGATACCATCGAGTGTCACTAGAAGCTGTACTAGAGGATTAGGAATATACGTTTGACAGGCAATGTCCTGATACAACTGGGACTCAGCTACATCTTATGGAGTCAGTTGAAGGGGTGTAGATAACGAATGAGCTGTCTGAATGAAGGTTATGAGAAAAAGCAAGACAGCTACAGGAGTCTACTGTAGCTCATCAGTGGGATTTTTTGGTTGGTTTTTTTTCGGTTGTTTTTTTCCCCACGTCACTATTGGACAAATCTTTGCTGCCTATAGAAGAGAAAGAGGTGCAAGTTCAGAGCAGAAGATACTGCCCAGAAGACTGGAAACATGTAACATGAATCTGAGCTCTTTCACTTTCATGACCTCTTTACAGCAGATAAACATTTTTTTCTTGGTCTTCGTACCATTCACATTGTTAAGAGAGAGTTCTCTGGGTGCTGTAGCTTGTCATATGCTATTTTCCTCTATCTTAAGAAAGCTTCCTTAAAACTTGAGAAAGAGAGAGGAAAACACAGCTCTTCTGATCTGACTTTAATTCCAATTTGACAGTCTCTTCCTTGACAGCTTTTGCAAACTCTACCGGGAAAAAAGTTTACTGAATAATTCAGTCTTGAGAGTGAATTGAGCTCGGGGAGAATTGTTGAATTCCCAAGCCTGTGGTTTGTGGTTTTTGTTATTGACTGCTCACATGGATTTAAAGCCCTGTCTCTGCAGCTGGTGGTTTTTATCTCCCCTTTGGATGCTGCAATTTTGTCTGGCTTTCCATCCCTGAACACCAGCTTTCTGGTCTTGCAAATAAACACACAAAGAACCTTCCTGCTACCAAGGGGAGACTTAGTGAGCATGTTACACTGAGCTCCTCCTACCTGAAGTTCTGCATATACCTATTCAACTATAAATCGGAATTTAACCCTGGACCTGAATGTTGAAGGGAGTCCAATGAAAGTTGATGGAG